TCTCTCTCTCTCTCTCTCTCTCTCTCTCTCTTCTTCTTCGTCGTGGTCTTCTCTGCAGGTGCGCGGCGGCTTCTCCAACCTCCAGGTCCGCTATGGCAGACTTCTTCTTCTAGCGGCCGCCTCAGCTATGGCGCATCAGGCCCTGCACACGACGGCGCGCATGGAATAGCGGGTACCAGCTCTGATACCAATGCAATCAGACTCGCTTTCATTCACACTTGTCATGCATGTAAACAGCAGCGCAGCAAACTGGCGAGATGCGCCCACTCAAAACTCAGAGATATGGCATCCAGATACGAGTTCACTTTCACTTGGCTTTGGCGACTCAGCGCCCAAACAACTCACTGTTCACGTACACCAGATCACCCTGGATATCCCACACGAGACTCTCTGAACTCACACACACACACACTCGCTACACACTAACTCTAGCTATGGCGGCTATGGCCGCAACTACCCTATCGCTATGCTACGCTCCTCTCTCGCCCACTTCAGCTCCAGGCTCACTGCAGACCTCCTTGCACAAGTTGCTGTGGCAGCGCTTCCGCATGGCTTACGCAGGAATGAATGAATGGCTGGGCGCTGCCTCTTGATTTATACTTCTGAAACTCGTTGGTCTGCCCTTTGCCATCGGCCCATGGTGCTCACAGTCCCTTGTGGTACTTGCTGAACCGGACTGGGACTGACTGGACCTTACCGCTGACTGAGTGGGGACTCACTGCTAACCTACGGAGGTCGTACTGCAATTGCACTGCAGTTAGTCCACCACTTGACTCACCACTTGCCCACGTGCCCACTTGCTGACCTTCTAGAAGGGCTACAGCTAAGACTTCTATTCTACAGGTCTACAGATCGAACCCCTGCTACCTACGGACCTATGACAGCCGACCAACTGTTTACGAATACACAGGTCACAGGTTCAACTCTCGGGCCCTACACAGGTAGGGCAAGGTCTAGGGATCGAACCCTGGGATCTGCGTCTGCTACTGCAAAGAGGTGAAAACCGTTTCAAAAACAGCAGTAAGTCCTGAATTAGAACCAATGTACTAACCCTAATTTTATTACTTCTTCAATCCCTTAATTCCCGAAATTGCGGAAATCGCAAAATTTGCGGAATTCCAAAACTAGCCGAAATATGAAAATCATGGAATTCGTGAAATTCGCAGATTCAGAACTAAACATAAAAGGTAAAAAAAAAAATTAAATCAAGTTTGGTTAATTAGAAGAATCGATAATTTACTAATCAACTGATCAATAATCGATCAATCGATAAACCAGTCAATGCATGTTTGATTGCCGATTGATCAATGAATCAATCGTTGCTTCTCTAATCAATACTTGGTTATTTCTTGCTTGAGATGCAAAGTGACAACTTGCTGAACAGACTTTCTCTCGTTGAGGTTAGCTCCGATACCAAACTGTCGCATACACATTTACACATAGCAAAGTTTAGCGCATATCCAAGAAACCGACCCCAGCAACAGACAATAGAACGCAGCGGAAGACTGGAACATACACTCTGACGCAGCAAGATTGGAATGGACAATGCTCACTCATTCATTTACCACAGTGAGATGGGGGCAGCGCGTCATACACAGAAGGGGCACTGTCCCCAGACCATCCATAGACGAAGCAGGAGGAGGAAGATTGGGGCGAGAAGGCCAAGTCGCCAATGTCATCGATCCGGAAGTTTCCCGATGTCCCAATCTCAGGTGGAGGGGAGGGTTGGGGACGACTCTCTATCAACCCCTGACTCTACCTATGGCTGGGATGTTTCTCACACGGCTAATCTGCCTTTCGCCACCTGCTGGAGTTTTGAGTCTTTACCCCAACCACAGTTTCCTCCCTCCTCCAACGATTCCTATGATTGTTTCCTGCCCCTCCTTTGCCCCATCCAAACTTCCCTCCTGCTTCTCTGATTTTGCTGCTCTTCCTCCCCTCTCCTGCCCCGAATTGTGACGCTCTTTTGCCACCTTCTCCCCCCTATCCGGCCTCCTACCCGTGTTGGAATGCTTTCCCCCCGACCCCTACTCTGAATTGTTGTCATTTATGGGTGTGAAAATGGGGGAAAGGGAGACCGCAGGGGAGTGGATCTAATATAAAACATGGATGTTTCGTATCTCAACCTTTTGTTTGGAACTTTGGACTAATTGAGGGTTTCTTTCTTGATATGATATATACAGTGTTAAGCACTTCAAAAACTCAACAGAGATGGAGTTTGTACTGACTGATCTGGCGAATGAGGTACTTGTTCTTGTTTCCTTTACCTGCTTTCCCTTCTTGCTGTTGTTCCCTAGAACCATCATGATGAGTACTCATATGAGGGATGAGTGATGCTGAAATAATTGAAGGAACTCCAATGTGATGATAAGGACTCAGGCATACCCTGCGAACATCAAACAAGCAAGGTGCGTCCCGATAGGCAACAGATTATGCACTGTAGCACAGCAGAAGACTCAAAGCTATATGACCTGACGCAGCCGAATCGGACTCGACTCGCACAAACATCATCACCTATGTCACACAGCAAGGAGGGAGGTCATGCGTAGAAGAGAGGTCCCTCCTTGTGCACACACATGGGGGCAAAACCACGAATGATAAAGGGGGAGAAGAGACGAAGGGTGGGAAGGAGAGTGACAAGAGTAGAGCTTGTCGTCGTCCCAAAAATGCTCTCTCCCGTAAAAAATCCCATAAACGTCTGTCTCCCAAAATGTTGAATCAGATCCTGGGCACTCTAGGCCCAATAGTCCCTCTCTCTCTCTCTGTGAAAGGAGGAGGAGGAGAAGAAGAAGAAGAAGACTATGGAGGGCCGAGGAAGAAACTGGGTGAAGAAGAGGAGGAAGAAGAAGCCCGTCCTCTCGCTCTCACTTGCCACTGACGACGTTGTACCGATGGTGGCTGCTGCGGGTCGGAGCCCGGCTACGGTGCCCAGGTAAGTATTCCCAATCTCAGCTCAGTCTTCACAGCTACTCCCTGTCTGTTACCACACAGCAGCGCATGTCCCCAAATCTGCACCAGCAGGACTCAATGATGTCTGCTGCTGGGTGCTGGTCTCCAACGGTCTGTCCACGAATCTGCCCCTGGCCTACTGCGGCCCATCTGCAATCCACTAGTCCGAACAGGCACTGCCTGTTCGGACAATCTGGAACTCCGAAACGCCACATCTGAAACAGACAAAAATAGGACAGACCAAACTCAAAGTGAGGGTGTGGCTCAAAGTGTGTGTGACCGTGGGCCTCCCTGCCATGCAACAGAGGGGTCTGCGCAGCGTGGGGGCTGGTGTAAAACTTTTGTGCCCAAATGGCCCATGTAGGAGCCCCGAGGATGCTACACTTCATCTCCCATTTGTTGATCGATAAGAGCCATATGTTTGTTGAATGTTTTTAATTTCAAATTTATGATTACATAGAAATTCAAAGAATAGTGTGGACATACGGAAAGTAGATGGGTTTCTAACAGGTATATATGTTGTGGCTGTTAAGATGTCAGCGACGTGCATGAATGTAAAAGCTGCTTTGCTAAGCAAGAAGCATGCTTTCAACAATACATGTAATGAACCCAGTCTCGTCATCCAGTCGTGTCGCAGATAACAATGTCGTGCAACATCGTGAGATGATCGATCCAATAAGTTCATCAGTTCGAGGTCATTGCAGTACATGTATCCTCATTACCACGTGTATGTCCCGAAGTCCACAGTATCCAGAAAAGAGAGGAAGCGAGAATAGACAGTTGGAAGGAGGAGTGTAACACAGTAGTTAAGGCCCTCTTCTCCTTCTGGCTCCCCACCTCTGCCACATCAGCAATCTATACTCAATGTGCCACGTCAGCAATCTGTACTCAATGCGCCACGTCAGCATCTGCACTCAATGTGCCACATCAGCACTTCATACTCAATGTAACACGTGGACGATGTGGAAGCAGCCCCTCGCAGATAAACGATCCTCCAACAGCGAGCAGAATCGGCAGCAGCTTCACATCTGAAGACACCGGGTACGTACGCACGACAACTCACATCACCCACACTCTCTCTCTCCCGCTCTCCTCATTCCCTCGCCGTCATCTATGGTCGCGGCCGTGGCCACCCTCTCCCTCTCTCTATACTATAGTGTCTGGCTGGCGCCCATCGAGCAGCCTGGCGCCAACACCTCCTCTCAAGTCTCACGTGCAGCGTCGTAGCCACAAGCGACTCGCAAGACTGAATGTCCAAGCCGTGGCGAGGTCAACATAATATAGTGTTGACTCGCCTGTCCTCAGTCAGCGTCGGTCCATCGGAGGGCCCGGATCTCCGATTTGTCCCAGTTTCGGTCTGGACTCCTTGAGGACTGAATCTTCTGGAACCTGCAGACCACTGTTAGAATCAATGGCCAGGAAATCTTGTGTGTTGACTTTGAATTCTTGGATCTGGGCCTGGGTCCTCGAGCTGACTGTTGACTTTTTGATTAACTGTCGGCCTGGGCCATTTCTGAGGCCTGTTTGACCCCTCTATTTCCAAGCATGCCCGTTCGTGCTTGTCCGCGGGCACGACGAGAGCCCAGCGGCTCAATTTGGCACTCGAGTTACAGCATTCCATCCGCCCTGATTTCAAGTTTCATCGTGGAAATTTCATTTCAGGCTTGGATTCTTAAACTTCGCTCTTATGCTGAGACAATATCATGAGCAGTAGGTAATAGTTCTCTTCTACTAAACCAGTGAGCTTCTGAGGTCTTCCTTGAGCTCCATTGATGAGAAACCCGTGTTCAATAATTTTCTCCACTTGATACCCGCCATCCATTGAAGGAGGAATCGAAGATGGTCTATTCGGGAATTCTTGTCCTTCAGCATAGGGTAGTAACTTAGATACGTGGAAGACTGAGTAGGTCTTTAGATGAGGGGGAATGCCAATTCGGTAGGATGGTCCTCCGGCGTACCCTATTACACTTAAGTATTTCCCAGGGTTCATAGTAGATGGGTAGCAGTTTCTGCGAGACATTTTCCTCAAGTGAGAATTCGTTAGATTTTACCCAAACCATATCTCCTTCTTTGAATTGCGCAGGCCTTCTATGTTTGTTTGTCTGTTCAATCATTTTCTGTTGGGCTTTCTTTATATTCTCTTTTGCTTTTTGAATGTCTTGCTCATAGAGAACTGCAAACTCTCGGGTTCCTGGGGGCAGCTTCTGGATGCAGTGCATTTGATGTGTGTCCTGTAGAAGTGTGTACACTATTACATTATGCACTTGCAATCTTTGGCAGGTTCTCATCCGAGTCAACCTGATCAGGTCGCATGTGACGAGCGCGAGGCTGAGGCTGGAGAGCCGAGGGAGAGGAGAGGGAGAGGGAGAGAGTGGGGGAGAGAGTAAGAGCACACACACACACTCACTCACTCAACACAGTGAGGGTTGGACGCAGACACAGTGGCAAGGGCACAAAGTCGAAGTCTTGGATTCCGAATGCCGAAACAGCAAGTCACACTGAGTACGAGTACAGCAGCTGAAAACTGGTACGAGACTGGTCCCCGTACTGTACGGGGAGCCGGTATAAGTACTGGTGACACATACGGTACCAGGGGCATGTCCGCAAAAGCCCCGAGGGCAGACCTGAAAAATGCGGTACCTGAAAAATTCGGTATTTGAAAGTTGCGCTTGAATGCAGCATGGCGCCAGTTGTCCAAAATCCGACGGTACCAAAGGAGGGGTTTGGAAAAAAGGGTGCCAGGCCGAAAATGGGATGCAGCAGAAACAGCAAAAAGATAGACCAGGGATCGAGCCCTGGCGGAGTCCGTAACACTATCCCCTCCCTTTGAAAGGCAACGTCCCGGCTGCCAAAAAGCCAAGGAAACAAAAGGAGCTGTGAAGGACGGGACGGGGCCGATCACTGGTCGGAGAAGGAGAAGGGGAGTGATGCAAGTCACAGGGTATTCTCTCTGGTGTTCTGCACAGGTGAAGGTATGATGTAACTGGGTGGGTCTATAGGGGAAGCTAAGCAATGTTCAGGGAACAGGGGATTTCTATTTATGTTCTACTGGGTAGGGGGAACGATGTTCAGGAAAACAGGGAATTTCTATTGATGTTCTAGTGGGTAAGGGAAACAATGGTCAGGGGAACAGGGAATTTCTATTGATGTTCTAGTGGGTAAGGGGAACAATGGTCAGGGGAAACAGGGATCTGCTAATGATGTTCTACAGGGTTGTCAAAGTCAGGAAAAAAATAAAAATAAAAATGAAAATGTTTGTTCAAGAGGCAAGGGCTGGTGTGTCCGAAGGAGTCGGAAGCAGAATCTCATGTRGGAACAAAGTGTCCAAGTGTCTTGAAAGGGGATCTGCAGCGGTCTTGATATGGTCTTAGAGTAGGTGGTAGAAGCGGTCTTCAGCGGCTGCGACAAGTAGAAGTCCAAGAAGCGTAACAGTAGTTCAAATGTCCAAAGTGCAAGTGCTAGGGTGCGTCCGGTACACGAACTGCAATGAGGTCTGATCTGGAAGCAAGGAAGTCGCAGACTGATGCAAAGATCCAGGTCACAAGTTGCTGCTCCAGTAAGTCCGCGAGTCGGGATGCCGGCCGATGAATCAGCATGGTGGCCAAACCAGCTGCATAATCTTCGTGAACAGTGAGGCAGCAGGCCATCGTCCTCGTGCGCTTGCCATTAGATCCTTTATCGCCGGCATCACGCAGGTTCATAAGCATTGGACAAGAGCGACAAGGTAGTTGAGAGAACAGATGGGACAAGGCTAGGCGAGGGCAAGGGCAGATCAGACATCAGGAATCGGGGTCGAGGGGAGGGTGGACTGGGTTCAAGGGTGTGTGTAGAACGGGGTTGCGAGGTTGTAGCAAGGTTTATACAGGGGTTTAGGGTTGTAGTTACGTGGGTGTCTAGGACATAGGAGTAGCACGATCATAGGCGCGGACAAGTTTCATAGCATTCTTGAGATTCGAGAGAGGTTCCCATGTAGATTCTTTGTCGAGGTATTCGGTCCATTTGACTTTGTATTCAGTGATTGGTTCCGGGTGGTCATATACCTGAGTAGTTCATCGACCTATGATAGGTGGAGGTCTAGGATATGGGCGGTCAGCGAATTGGGGTGGGGATTCATGATATTCTTTCAAGTATTTGACGTGGAAGACCGGGTGGACGCGGCTCATGTCGGGGGGGAGTTGGAGTTTGTAGTTCACGTCGGAGGTTTTTTCAATTATGGGGAAGGGTCCGAGCCATTTGTTCGAGAGTTTCTTTGACAATCCATGTTCGGGTTCAAAGCGTTTGGGGGAGAGCCAGACTTTGTCCCCTACTTTGAATTGCAAGTCTCGTCTGTGTTTGTTGATCTCGTTTGCTTGTTGTTCTTGTGTTCTTTAGAGGGCTTCGGTTGCTTCTCTGAGGAATCGATGCATTGTTGCTACCCATTCATTGAGGGAAGGGCAGGGTGTGGAGGGGTTGAGTTGCGAGGGAAGCAAGAAATCAGAGGGCAAGCGCGGATGGTAACCAAAGTCAAGGTAGAATATGGAGACATGTCAGTGGAAGGACAGACAACGTTGTTGTAGGTGATCTCGGCGGCGGTGAGCAATTGATCCCAGTCGTGTTGATATGGATGACAGTACTTCCGTAGGATTCTTTGGAGAGTATCGTTCATCTTCTCGGTTTGTCCATCGGTCTGTGGGTGGAATGCAGTGCTATACTCGAGTGTAGTTCCATAGGCGTTGAAGAGTTGTTTCGAGAAGTGTGAGAGGAAAGGGGGATCACGGTCACTGATGATATTCTCGGGGAGGTTGTGGTGGCGTGCAACATGGTCGAAGAAGAGTAAGGCGATGTCTTTGGCGGTGTGCGAGGTGGCACAAGGAATGAAGTGGGTGCGTTTGATCAGGCGGCAGACAATGACGTAGATGCAATCATGCCCGCGGTCGGTCTTAGGGAGACCGCACACGAAGTCCATGAAAATGGACTGCCACCGTGAGTGGGGATGGGCAATGATTGGAGCTTGCTGGGTTTGGCCCAGTTCGAGGGATTGACAGCCTGACACGTGGGACATGAGCGAATGTATGTTTTGACGTCGGCGAGTAGAGAAGGCCAATAGAAGTAGCGGGAGATGGTGTCGAAGGTTTTTTGGAAACCGAGGTGACCTGTGGTCTTGGCGTCGTGGTGCTCAGCCAAGAGCTGGGTACGGAGACCACGTGTGTCAGGGATGCACACTCGGCGAGTGCCTTTGATGTCGATGTAGAGGAGGTTGTCGTGGAGGGAGTAGTCGGGGAGTGGGTCGAGATCGCGGAGCTTTTTGTAAATGGCGGCAAAGTCTGGGCAAGAGAGGTAGCGTTGGGTATATCGGTGATGGAGTGATGGGAGGAGCTGGATATGGGTCATGGCAGCGTAGACTTTCTCGAGGGGCTTGTGGCCGGGTCGTCGAGAGAGGGCATCAGCAACGCGGTTACTTTTGTTGGGGGTATGGCAAATGGTGAATGTGAATTGGGCAAGGAAGTCGAGCCATTGAGCTTGGCGTGGGGTGATGTCTTTCTTGGTGAGGATGGAAGAAACGATGGTGTTGTCAGTGTGGATGGTGAAGTATTGCCCGTCGAGGTACGGGCGCCAGACTGTGAGGGCGTGAATCACAGCGAGGAGTTCCTTCTCGTTGGAGGGGTAATTCATCTCCGCGGGACGGAGCTTCTTGCTTGTGAAGGCGATGGGGTATTCGCTGGGTGGAACCTCGGGGTGAGTGGGCGAGTCCTTGATGGAGGAGGTCTCGACGGTGTCGCGGGGGAAATGTTGGGACAGTACGGCTTCAATGGCGAAGTCGGAGGCATCAGTGGTGACATAGAAATGGCGAGTGGGGTCGGCGATCTTGAGGACAGGGGTCGTGGTGATGGTTTGCTTGAGGAAGTCGAAAGCGTGTTGGCGGCGATCGTTCCAATTGAAGGGCTCGTCCTTGCGTGTGAGTTCGTGGACAAGGTAAGAGATCTCGGAGAAGTTGCGAATGAATGGGCAGTAATAGTTGGCAAGGCCGAGGAAGGAACGGAGTTGAAGGAGGGTCTTGGGCGGGGGGTACTCGACGAGGGCTGTGACCTTCGAGGGGTCCATACGGATGCCTTCAGCGGAGACAATGTGGCCAAGGTATTCGACGCTCGAAGCGGCAAACGTACATTTGCTGAGCTTGACGTAGAATTTTTGCTCTCGGAGGATCGAGAGGACTTGGCGAATGTGCTGAAGGTGGGACTCGAAGGTGGGGGTAAAGATGAGGATGTCATCAAGGTACCACGACGACACAAACTTCGAGGAGGTCACGGAAGATGTGGAATGTGGCGGGGGCATTGGTGAGTCCGAAAGGKATTACGAGGAACTCGTAGTGCCCGAACCGAGAGCGGAATTCGGTCTTGTGGGTGTCCTCCTCGCGGATACGGATTTGGTGGAAGCCACTGCGGAGGTCGATCTTGGTGAAATATTTGGCTCCACAGAGGCTATCAAGAAGTTCAGATATCCAGGGGAGTGGGTACTTGTTCTTGATTGTGATCCGGTTCAAGGCACGGTAGTTTGTGCACATGCGGAGTTTTGAGGTGTCGTTCTTCTTAACGAAGAAACAACTGGTTCCGAAGGGGGAGGAGCTAGGCTTAATGAATCATTTTTCAAGGAGTTCATTGAGCTGACGCTTCATTTCTTGGCCTCGGGGACGGAGAGTTGGTACGGAGGGCGGCAAGGAGGAGAATGGTCGGGCTCGAGATCAATGGTGTGGGATACACCTTGATCGGGAGGTAAACCGGCGGGCAAGGACTCGCGGAAGACGTCCTTGAATTCAGCGAGGAGAGCGGTGATGTGAGGATCGGAAGGGGGGTCTTGGTCCGGTTTGTCCTTTGGAAGCAAGTCCTCGGGACACTCGTGGTCGATGACAAGACAATAGTAAGCGGAGTTGGGGTTTTCACGAAATATGTGAAGGAACTGGTGAGGGGAGATAGAGGGGGGGGTAGAAGGGGGGAAATCAAGAGGAAAGTCAGGAGGGCGGGTGAGTCGGACGAAGGAGGGGTGGAAAGAGTAGGGCGTGAGACGGTCAAGCCATGGAGTCCCCAAGCCGATGTCGCACATGAGGTGCATGACATCGAAGGAGACCTGACTGCGAAGAGGACCGGCAGTCATGAGGGTCTCGGGGACAGTGCGATCGACAACGACAGTTGAGTCCTTATCCCCTAGTCGGATGGTGATCGGGGAGTCATAGCCGGTGGAAGAAAGGCCGGCTTTGCGGACACAGGCTTCGGTGATGAAGTTGCCGGTGGCACCAATATCAAGGACGACCCGGAACTTCACCGTCGATACGCCAAGAGAGACAGCGATAAAGCTGGAACTTGTGCGGTTCCGGCACAAGCAGAAGTGATCATGGCGTTGAGGCGGCGTTGTTCCAAGCCTAATCTAACAAGCCGATCGTGTCGTGCTTGTTCCTCGACGAGATCTGAGAAGGCGGTAGAGAAGGGGTTAGAGATGAGAGACATTGAGATTAGAAGAGCAGGTGCAAGTGGGAAGCTCGATCGACGGGATAGCAGACGCCGTCGGGAGGGGGGCAGGCGGAGTAGATTGTGTCGCCTGGGGGTCGCCCGATGGGATGTGCGTCACCAGAGGGGGGGTAGGCAGACGGATAGTCGATGCCAAGTGGGCCACCGGTGGAGGAGAGATCGTCATCGATGGGAGAGCCGACAGACAAGTGGTCGATGCCGGGTGAGGATTGCAAGAGACAGGGGGACAATGTTCAGGTGGAGGAGGGCCTTGCTGTCGGGGTGGAGGAAGAAGTGGGAGTAGAAGGGTCGGGTCCCGCAGAGCAAGGGGCCTGTCGAGTAAAGTGGCTAGCGTTGGGGCAGTTGGTCTGTTGGTGACCTAACTGGCGGCAGCGAAAACACCCGTTGTGTTCTTGGAGGTATATGCGTTCTGCGGGTGTAAGTTTCTGGAGACGGCGGGTTGGAGAGGAAGAAGGTGGTCGGGAGGCACGATCCTGGCGTTCCATCCGCATAAGGTGGGCGGCCTAAAGGTCCTCAATGGTGAATTGGGAGGGGTCGAGAGAGGCAATGTCGAAGTCGTCATCGGAGGTGGGTGGAGTGGTGTCGTCAGGGGTGATGTTATGGAAGAAGCGGGGGCGGGAGGGAGCGGGCGCGGACTGGTGATGGGGGTGGAGGAGTCGATCGTGGTGAAGCATGCGAAAGAGGAGGTCAGCAAGGGGCATGTCGGGTTCGTGGGCGAGGGCGGTTGCAAGATCTTTGTGGCATACTCGGTTGATGCGGGAGATGAACGCAAAGTTGGGAATGACGGTGGTGGGGAGGTGATGGCGGAGGGAGCGGATGTATTGGACGAAGCGGTCCGTGGGATCGGTCTGATGGAGGTGACAAAATTGTTTGAGGTAGTCATCGATGGTTTTCTAGGGGCGGAAGGCGGCAGTGAGAAGGTTGGCCCATTGGAGGAAGGAGTAACGCCGTCCTTCGGAGGCGCGGCGGTTGCTGACTTCGACCATCCACCATTTGGCGGCATTGTCGAGGAGGCGGGAGGTGGCAATGGGAAGCCAGTGGACAAGGGGCATGTGGTGGAGTTTGAAAGAGTTCTTGAGCCGGGTAAGGAAGAGGAAAACGTCCTCGTGGGGAAGGCCGGAGAAGGGCATGATGTCGACGGATCGGAAGGAACGAGGGATTTCCCCTTCGCGGGAAACAATCCGGGCGAGGGTGTTGAAGTTGAGGTTATCGGGGGTAGTGTCGTCGCAGGTGTAATTAAATTGGTTGTTGTCGTCAAGGAGGTAGTTGGGGGGAAGTTGTGGCATTGCGGGGTTAACCCCGGAGGTTACTTGGGAATAGGTGGGACGGGGGGTGGGGATGGTGGAGGTTGTCGTGATGGGTTGTGAGATAGTACGGGAGTGCGGGAGGGGAAGAGGGGTGACGTGGTTAGGCGAGGAATGAGGCGGTGTGCTGGAAGCGCCGGATGAGGGGGGGGAAAGGGTGGAGGAGGCAGAGGTGGTGGATGTGGTGGTAGACGTAGTAGGAGTGGAGGAGGTCGGCGGGGGTGTGTGGCTGGAGGCAGCTGTGGACGTGGGGGTGGTGGTGGTGAGCACCTGGATGGAGGGGGTAGTGGTTTGGGACTCGAGGGCGGTCAACTGGCTTGAGATGCCAGCGATGGAAGTGGAGAGTGTCCGGAGGGAGTCCTGTACGGACCGAAGGATGGAGAGGAGGGATGGGGCGGGGGTATTCTCCCCGATGGCTTGTTGGCCAACGAGTTCACGGTGGATATCCGCCACGGAGTCGTCGCGGAGAGAGCTCATGTTGAGGCTTGAAGCACCTTCGACCATTGGAGAGGATGAAGGCGAGGTGGCGGAGGAAGATGGAGCAGTGGAGGTGGTAGCAGCGGATGTAATAGCAGAAGCGGTGGCGGCAGCGGCGTCGACGGCGACGCATTGGGAGGTCTTGGTTTGGCGTGGTGGCATGTGGAGAAGGGGGGGACAATTCCTATTTACAAGAGTAGAGAGTCGTGAAGTGATTTAGCAATGAAGGTAGCAGAGAATTGCGGAGCAAGAATTAATTTTGAATAAATTAATTTGAATTTATTCGAAATTAATTCGAGAACGTATTTTTCAATAAAATATGAAAGCGAAATTTTCAGGAATTTCCAAATGAAAAGAAATAATTAATTCCAGCCGTGAATTAATCCGAACGAAAAGATTTTTGAATTACAAAAATTCCGAAGAATAATTAGTCAGAATTATTTTCGAAGTCCGTAGATTTAAAAAAAAATTGAAAACGAGTTAATTAGAAATCTTGTCGAAAAGGAAATGTCGGAAAAGAATTTAGTTAATTCTGAATTATTTCGAATTACAAAAAATTCAAAAAACAATTGATCACGAAGAAATGCATAATTTCCTAGGCTACCAGAGTGGCCCGGGGTCACGTGCCCGGTCGGGCCATAAAGAATAAAAATAATAAAGTATTTTTAAATTTTATTTTTTATTTGAAATTTGGTAAAGAATTTCGATGTGGCCTTGAGGCAAAAGTTGTTCAATTTATTTTTCTGCATAACATAGTTTTTTTTCGTATTTTTTCGATTTTTTTTTTTTTTTGTTTTGTTTTTGCTGGGACCTTCCCTTGTCCTTGCACGGGCTGGCCAGCCGGGACCCGGGCGGCCCGGCTGGTAGCCTAGGTAGTTTCAAAATTTTCGAAAAATAATTAATTAGAAATGGTTTTGAAAAGGAAATGTTGAACAAGAAATGTCGAAAAAAAATTTCATTAATTCTAAAATATTTTTCAATTATAAAATTTTAAAAAAGAAGTAATTAAATTTGTTTTGGAATTTCGAAGAAGAAATGCCGAGAAAGAAATGATTAATCCTACGTATTTTCAAAAATTTCGAAAAAGGAAATACGTTTGGGAAATAAATGTTGAGAAAGATAGTTAATTGAGTATTTTTGAATTTACAAAAAAAAGATATCAAAATGGGTTCTATAAATAAATAAAATAATTTTGATGTAAATCGACGGCGGAGCGATCCTATCTACTATTGATTGGGTGATAGCGTGGTAGGTAGGGCACGAGTAGATTGATGATGATGATGATGATGATGATGGTAGGGGGGGGGGACATGGGGGAGAAAATCGTGCGGGGGGGGAAATGTACCCAGGAGGGGGATCGTGCGAAGGTGGGGGAAGCAGGATCGGGATTGGGGGGAAGGGGAGGTCCTAATTGGGGTTGTGGTGGGGGCACGGAGAGT